TGAAGGCACACAAGGCGCCGTGTCCTGCGGGAAGGCCGCCCAAAAACACTTTCTGGCAGGTTTCCCTGGTCTAGAAGTTTCAGCAGGGTAGGAATTGTCCAAGAAAACACCGTTTCTACATTTTTTTTTTTTTTTTTTTTTTCATGAATCTCAAGTCAAGAGCCGCTAAAGTCTGACCCCTGTCGGCTGACACCAATGCCGCTAGTGTTACCAACTTATGAAACAGCTGTTTCAAACTAAGACTATTAGCTTGGCAACAATGCAGAAGGTACTCTAGGACCCGACTGACGTCCCATGTTGAAACATATTTTGGACAAGGGGGACGTTTGTGAAACAGACCTCTCATCAGTTTGGACACTAGAGGGTGACTACCCACATTACAATGGTCTACTGGTAAGTGTACAGACGAGATCGCAGAACGAGCCACCCCAATTGACATACAATGTATAGCAGTAGTTCTGTCGGAACATCCATTCAAGATATTCTACTACGCTCTCTATAGAGCCGCAAACTGGATCAATCTTCCTTCTATCACACCAGCTGGCCCACTGAGCCCACGCTGACTGATACTGTCTAGAAGTGCTTTCTCTCCAAGCCGGGAGGATGAGGTCTGAAGCCCCTGCCGAAAGGCCCCGACCCTGCAACTGTCGCCTGATCTTGGCCACGCGGCAAGCATCAGATCTGGCAACAGCGGATGGGGTCTCCTGTTGTGCAGCAGGAACAGCAGATCCCAGCTCTGTGGCAGGAGAACCGGACTCTCAAACAACATGTTCAACACCTTGGGGTACCAAGCCTGAGACTCCCAAACTGGAGGTATCAAAATCACTATTGCTACGTCTGACTGGACTTTCCTCAGTACCTTGAACACTAGGCTGAAGCGGGGAAAGGCATGCGCTAGCCCCAGGTTGCCTCAGTGAATGTTTAGGCCATCCACCGACATGGCCTCTGGTTCTGGGCGCCAAGAGACATACTCCTTCAGCTGAGCGTTCATACGAGAAGCAAACAGATCTACTGTCAATGCATTGCCTGTCCAATTGTTCAATGACAGGAAAAACTGAGCGGTTCAGTTGCCACTCTACCTTGTCCAGAAAAAACCCGCGAACACTTGTCCGCTAGGGTGTTTGTCAATCCGGGAACGTGAGTTGCAGACAACGTCAGGCCTCTTTCCAGGGCCCACGACCACATCTCCAGGGCCAAGGCTGCCAAATCTGGCGACCTTGTTCCCCCCACGTGATTCACATATGCAACGGCTGTTGCGTTGTCCAGCCTTAGCAGATCATGCTGAGTATCTGCGCTCACAAAGCTTCTTAGCGCCAGGGAGGCCGCTTTCAATTCTAGTCAGTTTGGTCACAGTGCATGCGCGCTTCTGTTTGCGACCAGCGCCCGCCTGTCTCCTGACCATAACAATGCGCGCCCCATCCTTCCAGTGAGGCATCCGTGCAAATTGCCAGGTTCGACGGAACAAAGACTTTACTTCGCGCACATGACCGATCCACCACTGTAGATCTTTTGCTGCATCTGGGGTTAGACTGACTAAAGAGACAAAATTCTCTCGGCTTCTTTATGCCGAAAATTGAGAAGCTGTTGCAGAGCCCGGAAAAGTAAGGGCCTTGGAAGAATGGCTTGCTTGGCGGACTCTAACAGCCCCACCACGCTGGCTAGCTGTCTGATTCCTATCACCTCCTGTTCTAGAAGTGATAGGCAAGAACTCACTACCTTGTCTAACTTGTCTTCGGTTAGGTAAATTGTCAAAGTACGAGGATCGAGAACAAGGCCTAGGAAAGTCGCTACCTGAGACGGTACCAACCGCGACTTCTCCAGGTTGAGAACAAACCGAGTTGCTCTAGAAGCTCTCTGCCTATAGCAATGTGCTCTAAGCATTGTTCCCTCGACCTTGCAATGATCGGTAAGTCGTCTAGGAAAACTACTACTAGTAATCCAGGGGTCTCCCCAAGCAATGAAACAAGGGCGCTGCGCCTCTCAAAAAATTTTCAAATGTAGGGTCTTCTCTTCGTACTTTTGCTTGTGTTAGCTTGGCTAATTCGTGAAATTTTGCTGATTTGGGGGCCAAGCGGCGTCACTATGCCCATCGGTATTGTCTGACAAAAGTTGTAAAAAGGCGCTATTTGAATAACAATAGTCCACTTTGCTACACAAAATCAATGTGTTTGGTAAAATGTTGACACCCTGCTGGCATTTGAAAATCCTATTTTCATGTAAACAACGCTAATTTCTCCATGAAATACAGCCCAAACAGTCAGAGAATAGATTTTTAGGGGCTAGTATATGGCGATCGTAACGTGGAAAATCCCCTTTCATGGAAGAAAAATAACTCACGAAAATCTTCCCTTCAAATGAGGAATCAGTGCTCCAACAAATTAAACATATAGAGAAGAACATTTCTTCTTTGTTGTGACCTTGTATTCAATCCATTTTTACGAGTTTTGGACACGTTTTCGTGGCCTTGAACATAGAAATGTGTAGCGCTCGGCACGAGGTCGGCCATCTTGTTTTCTTCAAATCTCCCGATATCTCGCGAGATTCAGTGAGACTTGGGCAAAAACACTGCAGTTTTGACCAAAACCGCTAGATGGCTAGGGTAGAATTACAGGTTTGTTGTTGTAGGGACGAAAAATGTAACCCTTTTAGTTTGAGGAGTACTTGTTGTAGCTATAGTTAAACTTTGAACGGCTGGACTTAGAAGTGCTCGAAGGGGCTGACTTATAAGCCTTACTCAAAGTGCGTCTAGCCTAATCGGCTGAATTAACCTTCTCCAAAAAGGTGTCTCCAAATTAAGAAGGGGAAGAATCTGAAGTTCCCGAGCAGGTCGCTACATTTTTGAGCGAGGACTTTACTCACAAATTCGGAGTTTAACTGCTGCCAACAACTACTCTACTAAAAGGTTAGCAGCCATGAGCATCTTATCCTGGCAATCACTATTATCAGTGTTTACGGTATCACGCTTGATCATATTAGCCACTACTGGGTCTAGAATCGGCGCCCGAAGTGCTAATTCAACATTAGGTGGAGTGGGAAAAGTTTTCCTTCCTCTCTTCACTAAGGGTTCGGACCATCCTCTAAACCCGATGCTGTTTGCAAAGCGATAGAATCGTCTTTGGTGTTTTTTGGGATCAGCTTCCTCTACTATGACTCAGTATAGACGTGAAATGTGTGGCAAGGACATGAAACAAGATATGAAACATGTCTTCAAGACCGATTTGCCCACCGGTTCCTCCAAATACTTATTTGAAGTTATTATCGTAGGGATTATCAAACGACAAGGAGTTACCTTCGTCAGAGTCAGAAAAGGTGATTTTTCCCTCCTCCGAACACTCTTCCACTTCAGAACCTGGATGCTCTCGCCGGAACCGACTACACCGGCTCGGCTGGTCGACGCTACCGCCCCGTCAACGTCCCGAGGTTGACGGGATGAACTGGACGCCTGAGGAAGTCCCAAGCTGGAACTGATCCACTGAAGAAAAGAGGCAGCGTCGAATCCAGGCGGGAAGGGTGTTTCTGATGGAGGTGGGGGTGGAGGAGACTTTTCCCCACCAAGCTTCGGCATGGTCGGGGAGCCCAACTCCTCCGAGTCCGGAGGAAATTTAGGCCGGGGCGGCGGCAGCTCCGCGCCGTCTCCTTCCTTGACCGATGTTCCCGGTGCCAACGCCAAAGGGGCATTTCGCTCCCAAGCGGCGGATGTTCCCGGTGCCAACGCCAAAGGGGCATTTCGCTCCCAAGCGGCGGATGTTCCCGGTGCCAACGCCGAAGGGGCATTTCGCTCCCAAGCGGCGGAATGAGGTTGGAGTTCTTCTCTTTTCCTCCGAACCTCCAGCTGTAGGAGCGGGGACTTTTCGTTCACCCGACTCCTCTTCCTCCTGTCCGGAGGCTTGTGCAGACATGCCTGTCTTTTCCACGGCCAGGAATTTTTCCTGACTAGCGTTGGGAAACAGGCCGCTTCTCTTGCCGTTACGACCCGTCTGGTCCTCCGAAAGGCTACCTGAATCGCCCTCGTGGGCAGTAAGACTTCGTTTTTACCCTTCTTTTTTGGGCCTAACGCCGAAAGAAAATCCGAAAAATAAGGAGTAGGGAAACGAACGTGCACCCCTCTGCGAACGCACAAGGAAAATGGCGGCGAACATT